GAAGAGTAAGTAGGCTGAGTACACTTGCCTCCACACTGTATCTTCCACTGCCATCATTAAACTTACCTTTCCAAAGGGAAAATAGGTAACTGCTAGAACATCCACAGGGAAAGGCAGGGGATCTAGAAGAGTGCTAACAGCAAGAAATCCACTAGTACAGAGCATAAAGCTGGAAAATGTAGCTTATTAAATGAAGGAAATAAAATGGATTTTAGATACAGGAGTTCCAGGTTAAACCCTTGCTTGGCCATGACAATTAGAGAGCAACTTTAGGCAAGGCTTAATCTTTAGCCTAAATGATTTCATAGGGAAGAAAAGACACAAATTGGTGCAGTGATTAAGAGCATGGATTCTAGTCCCTGCTCAGTGATGGAGCCAACTGGATGACTTTGGGCCCGTCACTGATGTCACAGGGTTGTTGTTGTGGGTGTAAGACTTTGAGCAGCAGGAGGAAAATGATGTAAGTTACTTTAAGATTGTTTCAAAAAATAAAAAGTTGGGAAATAAATCTATTATGTAAATAAATTTATAACTATAGTAAACTGATTTGCATACTATAAAGTATCTTAAAATCTTCTCAATGCACTTTTTGTGTGTCAGTCAAAGCAGAGGATTCAAATCAGCCATGAGCTGCAATGTTGTGACAGCAGCAGCAGGTCTCTCCTGTTCAACATTTCAGGCTACACTGGGACTTACTAATCTTTGTTCTGCTCAATCATGTTCCTAATAACTGTTGAAGAACCCAGAGGATTTTGGAGCCTGGAAAAAAGCCCTTTAACTAAATCAGAGCAGCCCTGATAACATCGCTTCAAACACTGGACAAGAAATTTAGCCCACCCTATTCTGTGCCATTTCAGAATGTTGCATAAAACATCTCTATAAATGGACACCTAGGACTGCAGGGGGCACAGTATTTTCTCTCTCACCTCAAAAGTTTCCATTTCCATGCATATGATCATGGAGAAGTTCTTGACATGGTAAAGTCTTGAGAACAAAGCATCATATGCTCTCTGAATCAGGCCTAATTAAATACTGAGGAAGCTGGATTTATTTACTTTTTCACTTGCTTCAAGTTTTCCTTCCATCTGGACCTAAAGAAATAGGAATCCTGAACATTAGCAACTAAGAAAGAATTTGGTATATAGTTTTTAGAACAGAAGACTCTATTGCTTGGGCAGAAAGAATCTTGCTTCAAAAGTGCAGTGCTTATGTAACTAATACCACTGGAAACCGAGGTTTTGCAAGCTTTAAAAAGTGTGGTTAAAGCTGTAAGATTCATAATATCTTGTACAATGAATCAATGTTCTGCTGCTGGCACAGGCACTCCATGGAGGGAAATCCAGCCAAGCTACAAGGCATTTTTACCTGTCCAAGGGTGGCATCAATCGTTATGTTTCTTGAAGCATAAAACTGAATGGACTGTATTTTAATATTTAAATTCCTTTTTTTTTTTTTTTTTTTGTGCAAAAGCTGGTTCATTGTCCCAGTCTACAGCTATTTGACTTGGCCTTTGTGTATTGCACCACACCCTGACACATACTGCATAAGTCATGGCATATTGTTTCATTTAAATGAGTGCATCATGATAACACAATTTATTTGCTTGCTTCAAAGATAACTCTATAATGAAGGTGTGATCTGATTGCCTGGCCTTGACAAGCTCCTGACAGGTTGCAGCCCTAAAGACAAACAACCTTAAAAGCAAACAAGAAAATGTGAAGGGAGAAAGAGGAAATGGCAAATAATCCCATCCACCATCACAACCACTTTAGGGTACAGCTGGGAGCATCATGACTTCGACAGGTGCATTCATTTCGAGATGAAGAGCACCTACTGTAGGATTTCCAGAGATCAGGTTGAAACTGTTGTTTTCCACAAATTCCCATATACAAAATTTACCAACTCTTCTTGTATAAATTGAAATGGACTAATAGGTAGCTAAGAAACTGGACAAGACTCCTCCTTCCTATCAAGCTAGCCTGCTCTAAATTGTTATGGTTCTTACCAGTTTTGGGTCAGAGGCATTTCACATGCACCTTGAAAAATGTACATGCTAAAACTGAATCAAGGGCATTTCAAAATAGCACTTTTTAGCAGCCTTCAGGCAGGAACTTACAGGATAGCATGCAAGATGGCTTTTTAAGCTGCAGAGTTCTAATATGAACATCTATTGTTTTTCTAGAAATGTAACTTCTAATCCAGAGGTTTGCAGTAAAAGTTGTAATCATAAAATGGCACTCTCCATTCACAAGAATTTAATAAAGTAAAAAAGAATTTGAAAAAATAAGAATGGCTGCAAGTGTCTTCTGGCAGGGTACAAATAACTCTGCCATATGGGCAAGAAGAAGATATCATGATGCTGGAGGACTTTTCCTTCCAACTGTGATGGATGTTACACACATTTCTTTTTGTAAGGTTTAGTAAGATGTTTTATTTGTACACATGGAAAATGTAGCATATGCTGTGTGGCTAACATGTTTTTGGTGCATCTATCTTATAGGTACACGTGCCAGGGACCTGAAATTGATTGTAATTCCCTGGATTGTGCATGTGGTGGTAAATATACATTGTTTGATGCCCTTGCACTTGACAGTACTGGGACTGCTTCCTGGCTTGCAGTCTGTTTGGCTTGATGGTAAACAGCTCTTAGGAACATTATTACTAGAAGCAAAGGATGGAGAGGTGCAGGGTGACAAACCTATTGGAGTCATGATAAACAGGAGAATGTAAAGCAGGGGAAACAGAACTGCGCCATGGAGAGGATAGGTGGCATCTAGTCTGTTGTCATGCTCTGTATCCATCTCTGAATGAATGATGATATATTTTCATTTGCTGGTGCTGCTACTAATCAGCATGGTGAGGGGAGTAAATAAATCAAGTATGAATCTAATGCAAGCTATTAACAGCAACTGTTCATAACAGAGAAGCTATCAGAACCATCCAGAATACAAGCAATTCAATATAGCTTGTACAATCTGGGTTATATATTGAGGGTTATACTTGTGCACAAGATGTTTCTAGGCAATTTCACTATGTATGCTGAAATCAACTACTCAAATACAGCTTAACACAATTAACATTTTCACTCCAACATATCACACTATGTTGGAAAAAGTATTTCCAGTTAAAGTAATGTTAGGATAGAAGCACTAACCTGCTTAGTCTGCTCAGTGTCTTCTAAGAGCTTATATCCCCAACTCCCTGCAGCTTGAGGGTGAATAAAAAACTACTGTTGTCTTCCCTCAGAGACCCATGAATACAATAGGATTTTAGAATTCTCTCAGATACAAAGCTCCTAGCCTGAAGGCTGTCAGTGGTCTGACTGATAACTGGAATAGGAAGTTACCCTCTGCCACTGACAAAGTGAATTGTGCTCTGTCTGCTTCTATGGATTCACATATCTGCTCCAGCAACAAGAACCAATTAAGTTTTATTTACAAGCAATAACTAATAGGACATTCAACCAGTCCAAATTCTTTTTTAGTCTGAAGAACTGAGAAGGCCTTTACACATCAATCTTATTTTTGACTCTGCACTCACAGTTGTAGACATAGGCAATGAGTACATGAGCAGATGCTGCTATATCCAACTGCTATATGATCCAGTATCCTCATATCAGGCTGCTAACACCAGAAATATTGTTTATACAAAGATACATAGTCCAAATTCAAGAAACCATTTGGGGCATCTACAGCTTGAACTGCATGCTACTTTAGCATTCAAGCCATTTAAAATTAGTCAGTCCCATCTTATTCTCTAAAAAAATGTTTGAGGTCTAGGGCTGTTCTAATACAGTTCACGATGCTACACAAGGAACACTTTATGGCCTCAGCATTATCCCAAATAACATGGGGAAGGAAGGAACTGGGAAAAACCCAACACCGCAAATTTGATGGCAAATGTTAGTCCTATTGCAGATGTACAAGCGTGACTTCCCCCTAGTCTCTACATAGCGGTGTTGGTGTCCTTGAGGTGAGTAGGACTGCACCTCCTATTCTCCCCAATCAGCATGATCAAATTTATCTTCCATAAATGAAACAGAACATTATACTAATGCAATTCCTTTTTAGAGGCAGATTTATTTGGATCTCACTAAAATACATGGTCAAAGGTTCTTTTATGAGGATGGAATTAAAACCAGTTTCCAAAATACACACAGAGATCCATTTGAATGCTGAAACAATTCAATCATGGGCTTGGGACCAGGATACCTTGAGGAATGCCTTTTTCCCTATTTGCCCTCCCACCCCGAGATCGGCAACAGAAGCCCTCCTCCAGGAACCCTCTGTGAAAGATGTCAGGAGACAGAGTACCCAGAGTAGGGCCTTCTCTGCAGTGGCACCTCGACTATGGAATGTGCTCCCCAGAGAGGTCCGCCTAGCGCCATCATTATATGTTTTTTGGCGCCAGGTTAAGACCTTTTTATTTAATCAATATTTTAATATGTTTTAATATTGAATGTTATTATTGTATTTGCAGCCAGAGTAGGTTGTCAATTTATTTATGCTGGTAGCTATTCAGAAACGTTAGTAATTGGATGGCATAAATAAATTTTATTTATGCATGCATGCATGCATAAATAAATAAATAAATAAGGGGCATTTTGCAAGCAGTCATGAGTAAGAACATTAGCATCCACTGACACTTTGCTAAACAACAAAGGAGTGCTGGCTCCATTCTTTGGTTGTTAACTGTAATGACTGAACCCTGAAAACTGGGTTGTTGAGGGAGAAACAACCCAAAGTTTTAATCTGAGAACAGCCCATGAGTTAAAATTGCTTTTTCCTCAACAATCCAGAATTACATGTCCAGCCATCACAGCTGTTTGGCAAAGAAAAAGAAAGCAGAAGCCAGCATGCTTGCTTACAAGCTAAGCCAATTGTAGCTTATATAGTATCACAACAAATGGAAAAGAAAGTGAACTAGAAACAATTTAAACCATGAGGACATATTCCAGAACCAACCTTTGCTTATTCAATAAAAACTCAACAACTATAGGATTCTTTTGTGTTAATTTAATCATACAAATATTCATTTATACATTAAGGAAAAAGCATCTTTGTTTTCCCCCACAATGTGCTATTATAGGATTCTCCCCAGACTCAATTAAGCAACACACCATCCTGCTCTACACATGCACTCCCCCCAGAGAGAATAAAGACAGGCTGCAGAATCAACCATTCACTCACACAAGAGAAAAAACAATGAAAACCCAGACATGGGACAGCGTGCATTTCTTAGCCCCAGAGAACTTCGGCTATACTTGTACCTAGAGAGATTCAGGATGTGCTCATCTGCAGCTGGGGGAGGGATGAGTATACATTCCCAAATCCTTGACGCATCACATCATACCCTTCACTTTTCCCTTCCACAAAACGGGCAACAACATAGGATCATACTTCTAGTGCAGGACTGATATCCTCCCGTGAACAGAGACAATGCCTGTTTTCAGCCAGAGGGTATGAAAACCTGCCCAGTTTCCTAGTGAGGGGTCTGGGAGCTCTTCCATCTCAGGCTAGAGTCATATTCTCAGATGCAGAAGTTACCAGCATATTGTTGAAACCAACAGCTTGGGCTATGGTTAAGTTAGCATAAAAAGAGAAATCTTGAGAATAATATAAATGAGAAATTCAAACATCCCTTTATTAAATTACTTCTTCCCCTCAGGAATCCATCATAATTTTTTTGCAGAATGAATCACTTGGGAAACAAGGAGGCACAGCCAACCACATTTGCTACATAAAGCTGGATGAATTCTGCGTAGCAAGGATCCACAACTAAATTTCTAAAAGCAGGAACATTTAGCTTCCTCCAGGACCAAGCAGTACTACATTGGCAAAAAGGGCTGGGGGTTATTTTAGCAATATTTTTCTACAGATCATATAGGAGGGACTAATGTTTGAATATGGTGTGAGCTTTTATTTTGCTGTAAATACAACAGCCTGAGAGCCACTCACAGCTTTCAACTGCACACATTAGTGATAATCTAAGCACTTATGTCAATTCAAAACATGACAGCATACACAAATTTCCACAACCTAAAAAGGGCTTTAGTCCTAGGTGCAACTTAATACTGTCACCCTTCTCAACAAAGGACCTGTGCCTTTATGATATGCAATAATTCTACAGGTTCAGGCTACCCATTATTACACCTCCATGCCTTGTATTGCTACATCTGGGAAGTTTCTGCTTGCCACACAGTTGTTAAAGCCATTGGGGATGAAATAAGGTAGCACCAGCTTTCCCTGATGATTATGAAACAAGTATTATGTGCTTCCACAAATCAAACCTTTGTGTCTGGACATAATGTTGTCCTTAACTGTTCAAGTCTGGAAGTGCTGCCATGCAATCAACATGATTTTTTCATCAGTCATTCCTACAGCTCCAAAATCATCATACATACCTTAAAATTAATGAACTTAAATTTGAGTCTTAACAGGTCCAAGCAAATAATGAAATAGATTTTATCATCATGGGAAAAATATTTGACAAAAGAAACCAGAGACAGAGTAGAGAGAGCAATTTAAACATCCTCCCACTGTCATCACTGCAAGAATCATCACCCTACTCAGAATACATGCAAACAGGTATGAGCGCTTTGTAACTATTTATTCAGAGATCATCCACAAAGAGAAAAACAATGTTTATCCCCTAAAAGATTCTCAGGAACTAATGACAATTGAAAGGACAACTGTTCACTGCAACCCACCTGAGCAGCGGCTCTGGCTTTTGCTTTCTTCACTGGAGTGACTGTTTTATTGACAAGAGTCACTTCTACTCAAGTGTAAGCAGACAGCCTTTGAGACGACTAGTAGAGACCAGACATCCTAAATGCTTTAAGAGAACAGCAGCTGACAGTAAATATCAACGTTCCTCCTGTGTGTGGGGGGATGGGGGGGCAATACAGTCTGCACCGTAATAGCTGACAGATTAGATCTGTGAAGTCTGTCAGTAACTGGTCTGAAGAGAAAACTGAAGCCAGTTTGACTTGGTTTGATAAACAACAGTTGATATTGTCACCACTGCAAGACTTCCAATGTGGATAACCAGAGCACATGTGAACAACACACACACACACACAATCCATATTATGTTTACCTGCATATAAAGTTGCTTTACCAGAGCAAGGAAAAAAAATAAAACCACTTGAAATCAATCAAAATGACTAATGCTATACATAATCAGTTTGTACTGTCTATTTTGCATTTGGTAAATACATTGTTTAAAGTGACTGATACATTACTTGGAGAGCCAATGTGAGGAAAGGATCAAGAAGTAAATGAAGATGTATCTTATTTCCTATGCTTCCATTCTTTACCCTCTTAAGATTAGCTGCTTCAATAACATTGCCCAGTGTTCACAGTTATGTTGATATGTGCTTAAATTGGATAGATGGTAACAAAATTAAGTCATAAAAGTTTTCCAAAAGAACAGACATACATTAGATGGTCAACTGGTATCAGAAGATTGAATACCTGAAATGCCCCCTAGGATCCCAGCCAGAATTGTTTAGACTCTGCAGGTGCTATTCATATGTTCTGGTGGGAAGTAGGTTTGTGATCAGCTATAGAACATTTAAAAGACCCTTTACACCAATCAATAAGATAAGGTGGCTTAGAATATGTTACTTTGGGCCCAGTATCATCTGCATTACAATCACTGTGACATATTCATGTACTCATTACCCTTTCAAATAGAGTAGGCAGCTTGGTATTTTGAGTGAGATGAAAGGAAGAGGGCATTGCATATTATTCTATCTTTGGCAGATGGCTGCTGTGGCCTAGTTCAAGTTTCTGAATTAGACAGAGCCCCCCTCCTATTCTCTTGTTCTTTCAAAGTCTTACACTGATGCAAACCCCAAGAATTTCAAGAGACCATGTTCTCATACTTCTCCCTATGAAACTGAACACTTTGGCCTCAATTATATATGGCTATCATTCTTCATGGGCTGCAAACAGTTGGACCTAAGTCAGTTCCATCCTTTCAATACACATGTGTGTGTGCGTGTGTGTGTACACACACAGATACACAGAGCTCAGTCTAGAAAACCAAAAGTTAAGAGAAGCTGAGGAACAGAATTACTGTAAGAGGCAGTTGATGATTCCTTTTCCTATATGTTCAAAGCAATATGGATTCTGCTAACAAAGTATGTATTTTTATCCCTAAAGAATCAAACTGATGAATTTTACACCTAGATGTGACATGAAAACATTATAACTGATGCTCTACCATTCTAGAAATCAAATTTCTTCTTGGCACAAAACTTACACATACATGCATAGCTGTCTCAAAGACAATTACTGTACATTAATGAACATGGGACTATTTCAATATGATAACTATTCAGGGTAAGCTTTGGAAATCTAGTAAGAGCATGTGCTTGTTTCAAAGCACAAGACAAACTTCTTACATTACTTCAGACCTCTTGCCCTTTCCACTTTCTCACCTAAATGGCAAAACTGGATCTGAGCAACTTTATCAAACAGAAAAGAACAAGCAGATGACTAATGCATATCATACCCAGAAGAATTATGTCAACAGTAGATTTCAAGGTAAATAACAAAAAAGGTGTTAACATTCATGGATCTGGATACTGATAAAGCTAAAAATGTATACCAACCAACATACAAACAGCAGCTGCATTAACCAAGAAAATGCTAAGCAAGCTTCCATTTCATAGCAAGCACACCTCCATAAAAATGCACGCTGTCCCTTTAAAAATAGTTATGAACAAGAAACAAAAAATTAACATTTGCTCAGACTACAACCGCTCTGTAGGCAAAATATTCTTTTTCTTTTTAAAAAGAGATGGCTTTTCCATTTTAAACTTTTTTTAAAATTTCTTTTAGGCTACCTAATTAACTGTGACAATGACTTCTAAACAAAACATTGGTGTTTCTCTCTCATAGCACTGAACAGCACTCCTGAAATTCAGCATTCACACATGCATACTTTAGTTTAGTTTTGTTTTTTCTGGAAACAACTAGTCTTAAGTTATTGTTTGTTTTCTTCTTATCCCAGGATATGGAGACCAAGAAGGGGGTTCATGCTGTATCTTCTCTAAACCACCAGAACTCCCCCTCCCTCCCAAGTGCGTTCTTTGTCAAATTTTCTTCACGACGATACCCGTTTTTGTTTTTAAGACTGTCCAAAGGGATAAGGACCATGAAAACCCTGGAAGAGAATTAGAAACAAAAAATTAATTTCAATAGGGAGTATAAGATGAGCAATGTTGCTCTAACACCTTCCCAATCCAAAATCCCAAGTGCTTGAAATCAACCATAGCCTAGGTTCCAAAGCCATTTTGTATTCCTTGGATAGGTGTACATATTTTAGACTAACCCCTTTCACATTTCAGTGTGATACTTCACTGTGTATAGACCAAAATAAATACTGAGAGTGCCATTCCTTTGCTATCTACAATATTTAATAAACTGTACTGGTCAATAGAAATATATGCAACACTGACACAATCATTGGAAACATACCTCCAGTTTGGGATGTTTTGTACATTCAAGCACTTTCATATTATTTGAAACACTTTAACAATGCAAACATTAAGTACCTTCCACACCTCTGAAAATCCTGACAGGCCATATTCATAAACTCAGAACAGCTCTTGACCCCACAGTTTATATACACAAACACACAGGCAAAGAGATGCACAGCTGCTCATGAGGCTTGAAGGGTGGTTCTGTGCCCCCAGTCAGGGATCCCACAATGAGCAGCAGACCTCATACACGTTTTGTGGCAAGCAGGCATTAGTACTATTAGCACATCCAACCCTGTTCAAATTCCAATAGATACTTACAATAAGCTCCCACACGCTTTATTTGTAATAAGACAACTTCCCCACTTAAGCCAAGGCAAGCAGTATTAGTATTAAAACATGCTTGTATTAATGTAAATGTTAATGTGTTAGTGTTAATGTTAATGCTTGTGTTAATGGTAGCCATTAACTTGCCACTATGGGTAAAGCACACATAAATATGCTGCTGTTGTCATCACGCTCCTCCTCCTGCTCCTCCTCCTCCTCTATTTCTATACCACCCAATGGCTGAAACTCTCTGAGTATTTAGTATAAATATGCCACCATTTGCTTTCTTGGATTTTTAAAATCAGAGTCATGCTCCTTTACTCTGTTAAATCATTATTCTAAAACTGTACATACATCAAACAAATCCTCTCTATGACATAACAGACACATTTACTTTCTATTTTAACCCACCTAACAAGCTCTGGCACAAAACAAAAATAATAAAAACTGCTTTTAATTACACTGTACTGGGTTCCAGCATCAACTTTCAAACCCCAGAACTACCACATTTTAGGCATTCAAATAATTGGGCATTTTGCATTATTCACAAAGTATAAACTAGGAAAAGCAAATAATATATTTTAACCTTCAAATCCTACATTGGTATGTAGAACTTACTGCAAGAACCTATTTTTAAAAGAGGGTAGATTCAAGACGAAAGTTTTCTAGCACGCCACTTCAGAGCTAGTTAGCTGTGAATCATACCACGCAGAAATTTATAATCTGAAAATCCATTGTTTCACACTCCAAAAATAATACATCTTTAATAGATCTAGGAAATTAAATTAATGAGGAAAATAGCAAGAGAAAAGTCAGCTACACTGTATACTATGCAATAGCCTTGGTTTTTGTAGATACCATAAATCACCTTATTTGCTGAAGGATGCATAGAACACCCATGTTTTAGAAAATGCCTCAAAATATCTCCATTTTGGTTGGGCATGTTAAACACAATGACTTTAGAGCATACCGAAGAATAGACCAAGAAATCTGATGTAGGAACTAAAAGGAACAACAAAAATGTCTCTTAATCAATTTGTGCTCTTCATTGAAGGAACATGTTCCTGAATTCTAAAAACTATAAAGTTTTTCTTTTAAAAATAGAAAGAGGATTAGATGAAAGTACTACTAATTTATTTGAACTCTTTTATTCTGCGGTGCTTAATATTTCTATGCTGTGAGTTGGTAAATGTTGTGGGATCCTAAAATAATGAAGCATTACTGAAGCTAATCAGGCATAGATCTGATCAGCAATCTAGATGAGAAACCACTGGAAAGAAGCCTCTTGTAAGAGACAGATAGACATGATTTTTATAATTACTGTCTGTATTAAACAAAGCAAGCATATATAAAGTAAGTATAAGATGAAACTAAACATATATTTCAGTGCAATATTGTTCAGTCCCCAAACATTGCATTGGTATGGTAAATGTTTGCCACCCATTCTTCCTCTTTTCCAAGAAGCGTAAGTTGGAATGCTTAACTTTTTATAAGGATGTTTAAGCTGCTGATTTAGTCTGCAGTTGCCAGATTTCTTGGCAAGAACTCTTGGACAGTGAAACTTCTTTTTACAGAAAATTTAGCTTGACTCTACAGAAAATTCAAAATCCTGGAACAGAAAATAGCAAAAGTATTATAGTTGTTCTGTGTTCTCATTTGCATGACAACTAAAAATTAACATAAAATTGTATTTCTGAAGAATCATTACTGATACACCTAGTAGAATTCTTTGGGTGCTCCCCTCTTACTGTGTGTTAAGTATAAACATTTCAACACAGGTAGTTTCTCCACATACAGGATTTTATGTATTCATTCATTCATTCATTCATTCATTTTTTGTAAAAGTGCCTCTCCATTCCCCATGTTGTGAAGTAGTACAAACTTGGAGAAGGCAGTTATCACATTATTTTCCTGAATGAACAGATGAATTGTGGGGAAGAGCTTTGAGTTACTGAATTATATTTGTGTAGCATACTTTGACCAAAATAAAGTACAAACTGCTCTGTTCTGTTTGTATTCAGTTTACGTAAATGATTCAGAAGAGCTTAAGGTAGTTTGAAGAAGCACTGACAAGGAAGTGATGAGAAAGAAAAGGTGATTGAATAGTGTTATCTGAGGCTGCCATCAGTGTAAGCATAAAGACTTTTGTTTTGTTTTGCAGCCGTGCATAAAAAGTGAGTGTCATATATATAATGTGCACTTCCCTTTATTCAAACTCCATGACAAGCAGAAATGAAATCCTGCATTTCCTCTCCAAACTTTTTAGGTGACATCTACACTGGGAGGGAGACTGGTGCCAGGATAGGATAATGGAGCAAATATATGCTCCCTTCAGAGTAATGTTTCCTAGTTAACAGCAATACAGTAGCAACTGGTATGGTGTTAAGAGCCAAACGCTACCCAAGAGACTCAACAGAAGTGGTATGCTTTTTTAGTCCAGTCCTATCTTGTTCACCCAGTCCCCTTGTATTAAATGGGTTTTAAGTTCTTGAAAGTGTACATACAGTTGTAGTCATCAAGTCTAAAATATTGAATCCTTAACTTCTTTACTGACTCAATGTGCATAACTCTTAGTACTTAGAACATGACTTGTTCTAGAGATTGTTGAACTGATCCACTGTGGGTGGTGGGAAATAGCAAGAAAGCCACTCGGCAACTGCAGCAAAACCCCCTTGCTGCTGTTGGTATGCTCACCCATGCCACTACCAGTGACATCCACTTTACTGATGCATTCTGCTTTGGACTGTCCATCAGTGGCTCCTACACCTTTAAAAAAAGACAAAGAAATTGCATACATTTGTATTGCACATTTGGTCAATACAAAATTGTGCAATTTCTTCATCATTTTTAAAAGAATTCCCACCCTTTAAGTTAAAAACAAAAGGGACAAAGCTTTTTTCTGCCAAAGGTGGTGGCAAATATATCTTTTCCCTTTTTGGAGGTGATCCTCTAGTTGCTTAGTCTTGCACTGACTGTATCCACCTTTTCCACATTTCCACTAGTCCCCAGATACTTTGGAAAGGGGAGATCTATGTACAGTGGTACCTTGGCTCATGAACTTAATCAGTTCCAGGACTCTGGTCATGACCCAAATTGGTCATGAGCCAAGTTAAATTTCCCCATAAGGTTCAATGTAAATAAGGCTAATCCGTTCTGTAACTATTTTTTTTTTAATCAGAAAAATGTGAAGCAAAGCAACAAAGAACAACAAATATTGCGGCCATCTCCCCTCCCCCACAACACGACAGCAATTGTGCCCGTCATCCCTGCACGCACCTGTCATCCCGGCTCACTGGGCAGTGAGAGACAGGCGCAAAAGCGGGCACACCTGGGGGGGGAGGCGGGCGCAATCATGCTGGGGCGGGAGAGATAGCCAAGATCGTGGTTGTACTCCTGCAGGAAAGACGGGCACAATCTCGGCCATCTCCCCCTCACACCCAGCACAATTGCAGCCATCTCCAAGTAAAAGGTTAGCTTAAAAGGCTACAGATGGTATAAGTCAGATGAATGGATGAGTCCTCCTCAAATTGTCCAGGCCATGAATAGTCAGCAAAGTGCTAAAAATCTAAGTGTTAGGTCAGCCAAAATTTCTAAGATTCATCTTCAATTTAAAATGCTCCCATGGTTGCTGAAAAACAACTCATTAAACAATAAAGCAGGTGTATTTTAAACTTTGTGATTTCCACTACACTTGGTATCAAAAGGCTGTTTTATCTGTTCAAACATTAGTGATTAAATCATACTGTTGCTGCACATCTTAAGAGTGATAGACTACATAGAACAGATCAGAACAGAACAGTTGAAAGGGGCCTATAACACCACAGAATCCTGCTTCATTTCTCCATGTGGTCACCTATCCAACTGCATCCCATGCCTTTCCAGATTAGCAAAAGTGACTTGACATGCTAGCTCAATGTATAACTATGCAGGCCCTTAATATACACCCTCTAATATAACTGGGTCCTATGTGATAGAATCCAATTATGCTATCTATTTTCCATGAAACTTTTATCATCTGTTTAAACCAGTGATTGTCACATTCTGTACTAATTATTTTTTCCCAAAATTAGATATCTACTGAATGAAGAAATAATTCCTATTGTTTGCCTTGCTCCTATGATTTCATGCATGTTTTGGGAGTGTAAGGGTATTATATACATATGCATATTGTAGTATTGTGAGGTATAATTATCTTAATATCCTGTCTCCATACTATTCAAAGTTCTGTAAACTACTTTCATGTCCCTTACTCTAAATTCAAAAGGCCCAAATCCTTTAGCCATTTCTCAAGTGGAATGTGTTCTAATCTCTTGATCATTTGAATTACCTGTTGTGTACATTTCTGCTCCAGTTCCTT